TATAGAGAAAGTCTTGTAATCGTGCAAAAAAAATCGAGATTTTTACAAATCTCGACGTTTTACACCTCACTGATACGGAAAAACATAATTTTGCAATCTTGTCCGAATGTGTCAATCTCTATGTGTGTGTGTGTAAACACGATCGGTTTCAACTTTTGAGCGATTTCCAATAACCAGAAGTACTTTGAATTTTTCAAAAGCCTATAACGTGAGTACTATTTCAGATAGATGAATGAAATTTCACATGTAAGTAAAAGATCTAATCCTCTACCTTCTGTTAAATTTTGAGTAATTTCCGTTGAACGGAAGTAGTAATTTACGCTATTTCCGATTTCTCAAAAAACGCTTGTAAATTTATAAAGTACTAATAATATTCCGCACTATTATGCACATTTTGTTTTGGCGTTCACTTGGTGCACAATTCTTTTTTCTATGAGATTCTCTTCTATTTTAAAAAGCTTAAGTATTTAAAATTGATTAAAAATCATAACTATATCCCGAGTTCTCATCCCCTGTTGTTTTATATATGAATATTCGAAAAAGTTTAGGGGAGATCACTCCCGGTTTATTTTACATCATTTTTTGTACACTTGATAAAATGTAACGTGCTTTGGAAAAAAAAAATGTGTAACACTATTATACAATCTTTACAGTTTATTAAACTTGTTCAATAAACTGTATAAACAATAAACTTGTTCAATAAATTTTAATATTGTTCGATATTTTACAATAGCTTCTATTATCCCAAAAATGACTATAGGCCTACATCTCTAAATTTTGAAGTTTTTTCTAGGACGATGAGCATGATCATTGATATCCACTTTATGCACGCTGGTATGACATGGGTCTTACATTTTGTTTAATTTGACAAACTTCATGCTGTCCTTTTTATACACCCCTCACTATGGCAGAGGACATTATTGCATTTTTACTGCGAGGAACGCATCACGAGGGAAACAGAATGGAATCCCCTGACACCCCCCCCCCCCTCACACACCCACCCGCCTTCCCGTCACTCTCAATAAAATATCTCTCAAAAAAAATAATTCAAGATTGGCACTCCTTTTCTAAATATTGAAACTGTATTGAGAGATTTTATATAAAAACGTTTACACCCTAGCCAATGTGGAACATAGTGCTTGTCGCGTCAATAAGGAAAAAAGAACAAAATCCACATGATAAGCAACTTATCAATGCTTTTGTTAAATAATGTCATACAAAATGTAATGTTTTATATTAAGTTTATATATTGCTGTAATTCCCTTTTGCGTATTCCTTAGGCTACATAGTACAGAGAGTATAGGGCAGGGGCGGAACTACAGTGCCGCCAGACCCCGCAGTGCGGGGGGGCCCAGGGCAGTTTAGGGGCCCACATCCGACCGACCTTAATTTATATATATATATGGTAGAGGTGTAGCAAGGGGGGGGGTGCAAATCGAAAGTTTGAGGGGGGTGCAAATCGAAATTTGAGGGGGGGGGGGGTGCAAATCGAAAGTTTGAGGGGGGGTGCAAATCGAAAGTTTGAGGGGGGGTGCAAATCGAAAGTTTGAGGGGGGGTGCAAATCGAAAGTTTGAGGGGGGTGTGCAAATCGAAAGTTTGAGGGGGGGGGGGTGTAAATCGAAAGTTTGTCCCCGGTCTACGGGAAGGGTCGCTACGCCTCTGCCATATGGGGGCCCAAAAGAATTTTTTGCGGGGTGGCCCTATTTTTCTAGTTCCGCCACTGGTATAGGGAAGTCTGATGATAAAACTCTGTAGGTTCAAGCTCATTGTTACATTACCTTCATGTCAGGGCATGCTATCACTTAATAGCATTAACATGATAGACTGTGTTTCTTTAGACATTTTTCTCTGTGGGTGAAGGATAACTTGCAACTTCCTGTTGTGGGAGGGAGATGCGGTCGCTATTACTAGTTAGAGTCTTTTCAATTTAATCTATTAACCGTTCCGACCAGGCCCTGCACTGGCATTTTAGAAAACCTTTTTTTTTAGGAAAGCGTAGCCCCCCCCCCCTCTCTTACCAGCGAGGAAAAAGTTGGAAAGTGGTTATTGCCGTCGTGTTTTCTTAATGGTTTTTTTTTACAGCTACATAATCAAAAATAAAAAGCAGTTAAATCAGTATGCCGGCAAAGCTGTAATTTTATATCAAGTAGACCTATTACACGAGCGGTGTCAACACAAGTACATCGATCAATGATATAATATTACAAATAGCCTACTTTTAAGAATACACAAAATTTAAAAATTGTGAAGTCCCTCTCTTTGGCCTCTCCTCCACCCCCATCCCACGCCTACCAGTTCACACATCGCTCTACAATACAGCATAAATATAGAATTTGTTAGACATTAATATACATTTACGTATAAAATAAACCTTAAGCATAGAGAACAAAATAGTACGCACCCTAGTACTCTAATGTTAACAAACAAAACTGGTATAATAAAGAATGAGAATAACTGAAAAAAAAATGATTTCATCGTAAGCATAATTTTAAATAATTTAGCACATTTGTCTTGGAGCAAGTAATTATTTAAAAGTTGAAGTGTCAAATAAAAAAAATTGAGGCTATTTAGACACATATATTATTAAAATTATTATTTGATTATATTTATTATGAATTTGCATAAAAGGATAGTCTTTTTAAAGGCATGAAAACATTTTACCAAATAAAATCAGTAAATAATTTTTTTTTAAAATTGTAAAAAAATATATTTCATTTTCAATTTGCCATTATCAATTTAAAAATTATTATTATATTATATTTATTATTGTTATTGCATACGTCTGTATACAAATATGAAAATAATTCATAAAAATCTTTTTGATTTTATTTTTGTTGTAAGGGCAAAGATTTACGATGATTCTTGCATACAACAATATTTTTTTTTCAAAACTGTTCAAAATTAAAATATTTTTAAAAATCAATAAATAAAATTAAAACAAATCGGTAAAAAGCTTTTTGATTTCATTCCACTGTAGAAGAAAAAGAAACAGCCCAGCCCAGAGATTTAATAGCAATGGTGAACATTGTATGCTGACTTCCCTGCTCTGTTGAATATAAAACAAATCCAATTAATATTATATTTTTTTCTGATTTAAAAAAACATATTTTCAAAAATTAAATAAATAATTGCAATTCTCTTGAGCTAATAATTTCTAAATAAAGACTGAAATCGTTTCGGCTCAAAATATTACTTTGTGAGATTTTTTTAGTATGAGCTTCAAAAACCTTCTAATAGATATCTCACTACAATTCTGGACCAATTAATATTACATCTAGCAGAAATTCTAAAATATTTTGAATTTTTTAAAATATAATATCAGTTTATTTGTAATGTTTACATTGAACTCTAAAAATTGCCAATATCCTCACCTCCTTTTCTTAATCATAACTATGATGACGACAAAGATGAGAAGCAACCCAAAAACAGCACAACCAACGCTGATGGCAATGATGGCTTCATTAGAGAAGACTTCCTTGCATGCTGAATCTACAAGAAAATAGAAACAGATGAATATGTTCCTTTTTAATATTGTTTAGCTAAATTGTTACATATATATTATGCGAACCAAAATAATGCAAACACATAATGCAATTCAAACATATTTCTCTGTATCCTTATGTACATTGAAATCGCTTTTTTTAACTTCTAAAGATATAACTTTATAATACTAACACTGTTTGTAATACTAAACAAAAGTGTTACCAGTTTTCCTTGTCCATACAATGTTGCTACTGTTAGGATCACAGAAATTACATGAGTCCCCATTGTCTTCTTGCTGTTGGAAGTAACATTGTCCTTCTATCACACACACATTTGTCTAGGTTTTGGAATTTGCATAATAACACATTTTGTTAATATTAAAAATACGGTTATGTTCATAAACAGAAATTAAATATAAATTAATTAGTATATTTGGATGTGAACGTGAAATGGTGACGTAATGCAAATTCAAAATGCCTATAATATTTTATAGAATATAAAATATTTTATAGAAGCTTTCAAACTCTGACCATAGAGGGAACATTATTTTGCCAGATAAAATAACTTCATTGCCAAAGATAAAAGGCACAAATAGCATGTTAAAAAGATTCCAAAGAACGACAGTGTAGGATATCATTGTGGAAATTCTGAATTTTATATAGTGTTTATGTTTTTTGTTAACTTACAATCATGTGACAGTCCACATCAGTTTTGTTGTCATTGATGACACAAGTCTGACAGCTGGAGTTGTGGACAACATGAAGGTAAACATTTTCACTCTGACGGACGCCATCGTTTGTGACAGTTATGTAGGCGCTGCGTCGTGTAGGGAGTGTACATCCAACTTGGTACATGCTGATGTACTCTGCTCTCACTACAGCACTGCTCTCTGTTTTTCTTGCACGTGTGTCCACCTGTAGTGAACAAAAAAGTCCATTTATTTATATTTGCTATGTTCTGAAAAAAATTGCAGTACTGTAGCACTGAGTAGATACATGTTTTCCAAAATTAATTAAAATATTCCTTCATGTCTCTATGGCATGAGTTTGTAGAATCCAGGCCTCTGGAGATAGTGCAGACCACACTATTCACATGCTGAAGTCAAAGAAACAGGTGAACTCTATTTCATCTGTCAATGGACTGAATGGGTAGCTTTAATTTTGTTTTTCTTACCGCAGCAAAGTTTATATGGCAAGCAAGATTATCAGAAGATGTGAAAAAATCCCCATCTATCCTGACTGCTTCACAAGAAGATTCTTGAATATTACAAGTTTTGTCTGCTCCAAAAATAAGTGGCACGGTGTTTGGTCCAAACTGGCAACTTTCACCAAAGTAGCCATTCTTACATCGGCAAAAAGCTGAAAAGAAAATGATATACCTTAATTTAACCACAAGAAAATAAAATCTGCATTTAAGTGAATTCTTATCTTTAGTACAGCTATTTTGAATGTTTTTTTTTTTAAATTTACCTATATGGCTACTGATCATAATTTAATAAATATTTAAGTCATATTACAGTTGTGACATTGTCCGTTGTCCCCACAGTCCCTGACACACAGCTGGGTGACAATGGCTTGAGGAAGTACAGGTTCACCAGGTGTTTCACCTACACCTGTCCATGAACTTTGGTTTTGTTCAGCTCGTGTGATACACTCCTCTGCCAGGTTGCTTTCGTGTGACACAGCCCAATCAAACAGTCCTGTGCTCTGTTGTTGATGAAAATTTAATTTAGAACATTTTTAAAATGCTAGAACTAACATGTGACACAGCCCAATCAAACAGTCCTGTGCCTGTTGTTGATGAAATTTTAATTTATAACATTTTTAAACTGCTAGAACTAACATGGGACACAGCCCAATCAAACAGTCCTATGCTCTGTTGTTTAGGAAAATTTAATTTCTAACATTTTTAAACTGCTAGAACTAACATGTGACAAAGCCCAATCAAACAGCCCTGTGCTCTGTTGTTGATGAAATTTTAATTTATAACATTTTTAAACTGCTAGAACTAACATGGGACACAGCCCAATCAAACAGTCCTATGCTCTGTTGTTTAGGAAAATTTAATTTCTAACATTTTTAAACTGCTAGAACTAACATGTGACAAAGCCCAGTCAAACAGCCCTGTGCTCTGTTGTTGATGAAATTTTAATTTATAACATTTTTAAACTGCTAGAACATTAGCATGAAAAAGAAATTGATATTTTTACCACCAGATCATAAGCACAGTTGGTGATACTCTCCTTAACTCTGTCATCTGAAAGTTGATTTGTGCAGGCTTTGACTGTACTGCTGTTCTTCAAGTAATCTGAACAGTTTCTCTCTGCTTCTGCAAATGTGTAGTTAACTGCACCTGTGGTCTAAGAATGATATACTTTTTAAACTAAATGAAACTCTAAATTTCATCTTAAAATATTGCTATATTAAAAAATATTATTTATTTTATTTTTTGTTTCACTATAATAATGTTAAATATACATTTGTTAAATATAAATTGTTTAGGCCTATCTTTAAGTATTTTCCACTTATACCTATAGGATCCAATATAAAAAAATCATTACAGAAATAGTTTGACTTGCTCCTTTTTGTTTATAAACACAACTGTTTCTTAATTAAAATGCAAGCTAACCTCTTTTCTTCTAGTCGTGTTATGAGGATCCATATATGTATAGCTTTATTAGTTTGTTAAAGAGACTTTCCTCTAGACATACCAATAACAATTATTAATTTTTCTTCAGAAAAACTTATGATTAGGAGGCTATACAAATTGGACACATTTAGATTAAGCTCGAACATATGCATTATTGGTCAAATTAAAAAAAAATATAGGCCTACTCACAAAAGCATTCATTAAAATACTGCAAGCATATTCCAAAAATTAGTACCAGTTCATAAAACAAAATTCAATTAATTGTAAATTAACAATTCTACATTAGACCTATAGATTTACATTTTATTAGAAGGCGCTGGTTTATAATATTTATTTCATATAAGAAACCTCAAAATTTTATTTAGTGTTATTAAAAAGATTTGAAAATGCAATAGACAAAAAAAAACATACCCATTCAGAAGAGTTAGTAAGTTGTCTTTTTTTCCTAGAAGCTCCTGAGCCAGGGATGGGTCGTGGTACTGGGGTACAACTGCTGCTAGTCATGGATTGGAGCTTAAGAGCACTTGTTATATCATTATCTAATAGTGAAATAAAATACCAAAAACAAATTATAAAGTCCTAAAGATTTGGTTCATTTTGTGACAGCTATTTTGTGTACTGTTTATAATGTTAAGAAAGTGCAGGAACAATTATTTTTTAATAGGAGATAAACATCGAGAAACATACATGCTTGGTTTACTTAACTGCTTTTAACGTTAGTTTAGAACACTCAAGAAAAAATATTTATTTTTACTATCAGATGAGCATCTGGAAACATCCAGTCCAGGTTTAGAGATGGGTGTAAAGCCTTGAGTACAACTGCTGTATGTTGCTGGTTCAGGATCATTGTGTGCTGGCACACCACAGTAGATGGTTGTTTTGGCTCTGTTTAAAAAAAAAACAGTTTTTTGTTGAATCATGTATGTCCAAATGATTCAGTTTAAACTTTTCTTTTAATTTCTTTTTAATATCTCATTTTATATACTCAACTTTTAATAATTAATTTGATTGGGGAAAAACTACATTACTTTAAAGTAAAAATAACATTTATTTGCACTAACCTCCAATGCAAGTTAAATGTGTCTTCATTCAAATTGCCCATATCATCATCTGTTCTACCATTAAAATTGCCACATAGACCTGTGACAACAATACATTTAGTAAAATATTGTAGCAAGAAAATATCTCACATCACATCTGTGTTTTATATGTGATGATAAAATTAGTTTCCAGAAACTAGGATAAACTATTCAGTCATGATTTCAAAATAATTAAAACACAGCCCAGCTTTATAATTAAACACAATTCAATATGAAACTTATATTTAATTTACAAAAAAATATAAAGATAATTAAAATATGACTAGTTAAAGTAAGACTTTCAGACACACAGAGGCATGTGGTTTGATAAAATGTGTATCACCTTCTGTCTCATTAAAGTCAGATGGTGATGCTGTAATAAAAATGTTCATGAAGGTGTACATGCTAGGCATCACAGACACAACAGTTCCTGTTGGTAGAAGAACCTGAAACACATGTGCTCATTGATTAATGAAAATGTAATCATATTTTTAGACACAGAAAACAAATTTGCTACATTATAATAAATTTATTTTGTGCTATTTTAGTAAATCACCTAAAATATTTTATTATATTATGTTTATAGTTACTGAAGTTAAATCATGATTTTAACATTACAAGCAATAGCCTTAAATATACTGTTTATTGATACTGAAATTAAATAATAATTTTTGATAATTCAAAAAATAGTCAACATCATAGTGTTTATAGATAGCAATATTAAATTATTATTTTAATTGTTGAAATAGCCTACATCATACTGTTGACCTCCACCAAGTTGTTTTATCTTAGTTCCAGGAGTTAGCTCCCCATTTTGAATAATCTGGACATTCAGAGCTGCAGCATTGGACCGTAGACGGTTTTGTTTGGCATCACAAGAACTAAATTCAAATTATTATTTTTTTTTAATTAATTTGTTTTTTGTGTAGAGGCCTAATTGAAAATGATTTAAAATTTAGTGGAAATTTTTAAAAAGTTAAACTTTAAAATCCAATTTTAGAAAAATTGTAACAATATATATATATATATATATATATATATATATATATATATATATATATATATATATATATATATATATATACATATATAATTCAAGCTATTAACCTTTTATTTGCATAAATAATGATAAATTTAAAGAATAGTTATAAAATTGAAAAAAGCACACTATTTTTTAGTAAATGCAAAAAGTGAATATGCAATTCTTAATTTATGTTAAAATAAAAAAATAAAAACTCACTTAAATACAATGACATCATCCCCTGACTGTATCGCAGTTTTACAGTTGCAGGTGGCAAGTGGTGATGCTGAGCATGGGCGGAAATTTACCTGAACCTGTTAGTTTAGATTTAGCTGTTGTAACTTAATTTAATCAAAAATGTGTTATTTTTTTTAACTGGTGTATTTAATCTTTTTAATTGTAATAGAATTTTAATATTTTTCAACTGTTTACAAGTTTGCAAGCAGCTTACGATATTGCCACACTTTTTGTACTAAATGTCAGCTGTCAAATGATAATTTTTACCCAACTACTAGGCTTTCAAGAAACTAAATATCAAATCATGAATTAATTCACTTGAATTAAGAAAATGCTAATTTTTTTCTGCATGTTTATAGGATAAAAGTTTTATGTATTTAAATAGGATACAAGTGTAAATAATTTACAACATCTTTCACCTGATAAGGAAGTGTCTTGTGTTTGTAGAGAATGAAGTCACCTGATAGCTGGTTGTCATAGTAACTGGGAAAATGTAGGTTAAGTAAAAAATTAAATTTTAACGTAGGATAATAATGATGTTATACCATTACAATATTGTTTATAACATTTTACGGTGACAGGACAAATGATCTCAGACAAAATATCTCAGACAAAATATCTCACGGACAAATGATCTCAGGACAAATGATCTCAGGACAAATGATCTCAAGGACAAATGATCTCACGGACAAAAGATATCAGGACAAAATATATCACGACAAATGATACCATGGACAATTGATCTCAGACAAAATATCTCAGACAAAATATCTCACCGCAAAATTGTAATAGTGTATTTGATAGTTGATGTGACTTTTTTTAATAGACTTTCATACGGTTTTGTTTACTATGTTAAATATTGTTTATAGGCCTATATACATTCGTCAGATTGCACTAAAGATTTTAAAATTGAGATTACTAATATAGTATTCGAGGTTAAAGAAATTTTTCAATAGACAGCGTAGGTGGGCTTGCCAAAAATGAGCAATCCTACCATGAAATAACAATAAAGACACTCATTCGTATCAAGGTGGCCGCCTGTTTTGATGGCAGAGACATGCCTTAAGGGAAAGACATCCGCCCTCCATGGACAATACAACTAGCATCAACAGTCAATAGTTATGTGTCGGTCACACCTTAGTGATCAGGCGACAATGCTTATTTAAACTACAGCGGTCATCACGGAGCTAAGTGTGTGTAGTGTGCATGCAAACAAAGCAGTATTAGTGGTGATTACTCAGCTATGGCCTCTTTTGTTATCTGGTGAATTTATAAAAGCCATTAGTGGAGCAGCAGGCAAAAAGATTTCGAAATGTGCAGTTAGAAAATGTCGCGCAAGAGTTCACATAGTATTAGAGAGGTGTGATCATACCTGCCAGCAAAGAAACGTAAACGTTATGTTTGTGTTGGTGATCCAATAAAAACAATAGTTTTTTGTTATGAAAATGAGGACCTATTCACATTTTTAAAAAAAATATTTCGCGTGTTTTTGAACATTAATGTTGTATAGCTACCGTTACTTTATTTGTTTACTGTACCTTTCAGGCTAAAGGAGTAATTTTGTTTCAATTTTTACTTTTTCAAATCAAATGCTATTACAAAGGTTAAGTTTAATAAATCTTTTGATGCTTTGTTAAGCGTAACAAATTCACTGTATTCACAATTTTCTTCGTAAAAAAGTAAACAAAACCATATTAACCGTCAATTTTTAAAAAAAAGTTCAATTCAACTAAAATCATCGTACATACTATTAAAATTTTGCTGTGAGATATTTTGTCTGAGATATTTTGTCTGAGATCATTTGTCTATGATATCATTTGTCCTGATATATTTTGTCCTGGTATCTTTTGTCCGTGAGATCATTTGTCCTTGAGATCATTTGTCCTGAGATCATTTGTCCTGAGATCATTTGTCCGTGAGATATTTTGTCTGAGATATTTTGTCTGAGATCATTTGTCCATGATATCATTTGTCCTGATATATTTTGTCCTGGTATCTTTTGTCCGTGAGATCATTTGTCCTTGAGATCATTTGTCCTGAGATCATTTGTCCTGAGATCATTTGTCCGTGAGATATTTTGTCTGAGATATTTTGTCTGAGATCATTTGTCCTGAGTACATTTGTTATTAAGTGCCAAAATCTACTTTAAAATACCAAAAAAAAACTAATTATGATACTAACATAGCTATGTATGCAATGTGTCGTAGCTTAAATTCAGAATTTATGGAATAGTATTAGTAATATTAAATAAACTTGTTTCGAAATTTATTTACTTTTTATCAAAAGTTGAAATATGTGGATCATTGACAGAATAGCAGATATAAGTTCTGTCCTTATCAACAACAGTGGCTTGTATATCAGCACAACTCTCCTGGGGGGTCAGCTACAAGATGACAGAAACAATAAATTTATGGATGTAGATCTACTTCTAAGTCATTCAAAAGCGATTAAGTTAAAGCTAGAATTTTTATAACCACTGATGCATTGATGTATAAAGCTTTTAGTTGTTATTAAAACATAAGTAGCATTCATAACTTTCCCATTCTACAAACATTTAAAATTTAATTTATAAAACGTTTATGATAGTGCCTTACATAACCACTGAATTTAATGTAGCTTTGTATGGTTAAATATCTGTCCCCATCTATGATCCTGTCTATTGTTGCCTTCACTGGAATGATGATTCCATCCTTCCAATTATGATGAGAAAATTTCTGGCCACAGCTTTTAGTTTCAAATACAACTTGGGGTATGATTTCAGTGTTAGAACAACTGGAATAACAGGAAAACGTCGTATACTGAGTTAGCTCCCTTCTAATTTAAATTTTTAAAAATATCGCTATAATTACTGATCTGTCTTAGAATTTTTAATTACTTTAACGTTTATTTTCCAACACTATTTTTGTAAATTGTAATATAAATTGATTAACATGCTCTATGTTGACAGTCCTCAGTCAATATGTTATAATTTGAAATATAATTTAAAATTGTAATTTTGAGTGCTGATGTACTTGGTTGGCTTTTTGTGACATTGTGTGACGGAGGGGAGATGGGGGAGGTAAAACTCATCTTAAAAATGGTCTAAAAAAGTGTGAGATCATTAATGGATGACACCCTGCAGTAAATCTTACTTGAGTTCATCACTGCCTGGAAGAATCTCTATGACGACCTCCACATCACACGGACTTCCTGGTCTAACAGTACAGTAAAGTTCTGGTGGAGCAGTCAGTTTAAAAACCAGATTTACAGGACCTTGACCTTCAACTAATCTTAAGGTAGTTTGTTGTGGACACTAGATGAAATAAAACACTGATTTGTAAAAAGCTAAGCAAATACTTTTTGTTTTAATACTACTAATAAATGTTTAAATTTGTTAGGTGAATATAATTACATTATTTTTTTATTTGCACCAAAATACTTATTTCCTCTATTTACATAGTTTCGTTAAAATAACAAAAGTGGTATTTTTCTAAAGCTGTAACTTACTATGACCGATGGTATGATAACATTGCTGCTTTCTTCGTGACAATTTTTTGATCCACTTGTCACATTTTTTACCGCAGCCGAACAGTAAATCTGAAAAATAATAAAAATATAGAAAAAGTCTTTCTGAAACATACGTTTCTTTCACATATATTTTTAATGTTGTTATAATCATTTATCAGAAACAGTTTTCAAACTTTTTACCCTTTTCTTATACAAAGCTCGTTTAACATCAGTAAATGGAAAAAGTCCCTCAGATGAATTGATGTTTTTGTTGAAAGGTCTAACTTTTCTCTCTACGTGCAATGTAAACAAGATGTCCACACCTGCTGGTAGAAGCTCTGACAGTGAGCAGACGAAATAGCCCTCACCAAATGGTTTGGTCCGGACGTTCAGTTCCACAGCAGCAGGTTCTGGCGGACAATCTTTTCTTTCACTTCGTTTTTCCTTGACAGTTTTTACTTTTGAGAAACAAATATCGTATCAATTATGCGCAGAGTTGTAATAAAATAGAGTGGGGTTTACCTTAGAAAGCTTTAAATTAATCTGAGAGTATCCCTTCATATGTTCTGGTAATTGAAAAAGGTGAAACCTAATTCACCTGCCCATAGAACGTCAGGCTTCAAAGGTAAGTTTACTTTTTAATGGGACGGCGTGGTCGATTGGTAGTGCGTTCACATACTAGCCTGCAGGTCTCGAGTTTGGATCTCGGTCCGGACTGCAGGACGTCCCTGTGTCCATCTAATGCTTATGAATACCAGATTAACGTTGGGGAAAGTAAAGGCGGCTGGACATAGTGCTGACCACACCATCCCTTCATACACCGAGGTCAAGAAACATACAAACTCTACTTCAACTAAACACCTTTAGAGAAAAGAGAGCTTTATAGTCAATAGGTGAAAACAGCTCTTAGAAACTTACACACAGAAGAAAAAACATTCTCCTTTAGGTCCTCAAGATCTGTAAAATCATTGACAGTAAATCTATTTTGGTCAACTGGTTTGTTGGCGATAACATCCAACTGTGTGGTGTCCCTTAGACCAATGCCAACAACAAAGATGTGAATGCCCTGTGTTCTGGCCGCATCAGATTCTGCCTGAATGTTTTGGCTGTTGGAAACACCAGTTGTCAGTACTATGGCGATGTTATCAACATCTAAACGATCCCCATTTGACTCATTGAACATGGCTGTCCTCATTGTTCTAATGGCATCTGCCGTGTCAGTGTCATTTGGTGGATAGGCTATGGCGTCAATGTCATTTATGACGTCATCTTTAGTTCCATGTTTGTCAAGGTGGAACTGGATATGACTGTTACTACTAGTGACAACACCAATTCTAACATTTTCATTGTAAATATCGTCTTCGTAGATGAAATCTTTGATGAATGTTTTCATCAGATCAAAGTTAGATTTGGACACACTGGAAGTGGCATCAAGTACAAACACTAGATCAAACCTGGTGTGCACACGTCCTGGTGAGATGAGAAGTCAAAGTGCATTAAAAACATACATTGTATACACCATCAATCGCCAATATTAACGTATACTTAGAGACGCATTTTTTTGTCTATAATCTAAACAAAGCTTCACATTTGTAAACTTATGCTTTTCTCTATTCTTAATTATAGAAGATAAGCGAATAACCATTTTTTTTAAAAACAGGGTGAGTACAATATTAAGGTACATTTAAAGTTAGCATATTAAACTACTTTATACTTTGAAAGACTAGCGGCATGAGATGGGACATTTCACTTACTGATCACAACTGGTTTAGGTGTTGTAGGTGCAGGTGTTGGGGCTTCTGTCACGTACAAACCTGGTAACATTAGTCACAACATCATATATGTCAAAACATCATTGTTTAAGATGTACGATAAATACCTCTACTGGTGTAATTGTAACTAAGTCAAGTCACTTTTACATATAAGGCTGTAGACATATGCTTTGAAAACTTTATCTATAGCAGCTATATTAATTGGTTTGTTTGATTGCATTATATGCTATAAATTATTCATTTACTCAACTTAACGGTGTCATTTCTTTTCATTTTGGTACTTATGTGTATGTATGTAGGTCTAGGACTTCCTCCGACACTACCTTCCCCTGTCAATTACCCTTACCTCAGGTAATTACCCCCCCCCCCTTCCCCACTAAGCTGAAGAACACTAACCATAACCCCAAACCTAGACCCTATAGCTAACCCAAACCCCAATCCTAACCCCAACTCTAAACCTAGCCGTAACCTTAACCCTAGCCCGCCATAAACCAAACTCTAACCCAAACCCTGACCCTAACGTAACCCAAATTGCTAAGGGGAGTAGCGTCGGGGGGGGGGGTGGCGGGGGGGGTAATGTTCTTCTCCTTATGTCTATACTATGACAAGCTTGTATGTGTATGTAGGGGTAATTCAAAAACACCATCACGCCTTTTAAACGATTTTTATCTGCCCTTACTCGTAGATACACATCGTCACAAAAAACAAGGCACCACACTAAATGTCATCACGCCTCAGCCTACTAACCCCTCCCCAATAAGAAAAATAACATATTTCGGTTTTAATAAACTTTATTACTTCCTAAAATATTTACTAAGCTCTGTCAACATTGAGTATATTGATCGATTGTATTACAATCTACACATCGTCACAACAGTCACTGCCCCCTCCCCCCATTCCCCCCACTCCCCTACGTTTGTGACGTCGATAATGTAGACCCTCTTAGTACTATGACAGCCAATATAGTAAGATATGAAACTATTCGTATTTAGTTTTTTTAGTTGAATGCGCATGTTTTTGGAAATCATGTAAAGAGGAGATCACTCCCACAACTTTCTCCATTGTTACGTCCATGTTGTGTATAACTCGTAAACAGGGGTATTTTTTTAAAAGTATTACAATATTAATTTTTATGTACTAATTCGACATTATAGGAATTTATTCTACTTACACATGACGTTAAACAGTTTTTCCCTAAGACTTTTGAGTAAAGTATAATTTTGTACTTTAAACATAAAATCATCAACGGGCGTGCTTGCGATCTTATTTAATTCTTCGGTGATTCCTGCGCCAACACCAATAGCATAGATCTGAATGCCTTGGGCTTTGGCAGCCTCAGCCTCTGGGATTGTCCTTTCCCTGTTGATGTAAGACTGACCACCTGTGATGACCACTGCAATGTTGGGGACATTGGGGCGATCTCCGTGCTCAGGACTAAACATTGTCGTCCTCATTGTTCTTAGACCATCAGCAGTGTTGGTGCCCCTTGCGATATAAGGGATGGCAGAGATGGCTTGAAACAATTCAGCTTTGGTTTTATAGCTATCCAAGTGGAACAGGATTCTATCTGCACTACTAAAAATGACGACACCGACCCTAACATTGCCGTTGTCAATGTCGGCCTCAGCAAGCAGGTCTTTCATGAACTCTAACCCCAGCGTGTAGTTAGATGCTCCAATGCTTCCAGACGAGTCGACCACAAAGATCATGTCCATCTTCACGTTATCACAGCCTGGGATAGAATGACATTGAATGTAGATAAGACATAGTGTGTGTCGAGGAATGTAGATAAGACATAATGTGTGTCGAGACATGTGTGTTATCATTCTAATTGTAATGTATTGAAAACATATAAGGAAGATAACTCTGTCCTGCGCAGAAATAGTTTCTTTAGTTTTGCCCTTTAAGAAGATATTTTTCTCCGAGACAGGGACAATTGAAGCGTCCTAAAAAAGGTGGAGGGGGGGGGGAGGAGAGAGATAGAAAGAGAGAGAGAGAGAGAGACAGAGAGAGAGCAGCAATTTGAAAAATTGTTAAAGTTCATACTTTCTATTTCAATTTGACTTTATTTATCAATTTCATCGGTGGTGGAGGAGGTGGGGGTGGGGGGGGGGGGGGTAAGAGAAGAGCAGTGACTATAGCTTGATTACAACTTTGAAGACGATATCAAAGAATACAAAAACTAACTTAATCTAATCTTGGAGAAGTCGTGTGTGCTGTCTCAATGTTGCATTAGTTTAAATATCCTTTTGAATTATTAAAAATAGAGAAAACCCTACAAACCACCATAAGCTTGTGTCTGAAGGCTACACAGGGCAGCAAGTACAAGCAACACTGGGTGTGTCTTCATCTTGGGTTTGTTTTATTAACCGACTGGCACATACAAGCTGTTGTGTGAATGGTTTTATCTGTGAAATATTGAAAATTCATACAACAAACTATATATATATATATATATATATATATATATATATATATATATATATATATATATATATATATATATAATACACATATTGTATCTTGCTTAATTCACCGTCCAGGACAAATTGGTTTGGCCCCCGTTACACGAAACACTTATTTTTTTATACTAGACATACTGCCTAGCTTTGCTTAGATTTTCAAAAACATATGAGAATTTGAATGCATAATTAATTAGTTATTGCTGATATATGGAGCGTTTACGTTTCAACAATTTTTTTTTCTTTTTTTTTTTTTTTTTTTGCCTCAGACACGTAATTTATAGCGTCAGTTGTGTGTTCGCTTTAGTATTACAGTTTTCATCATCGGCTTGTGAGGACTGATAAGGACTGATACAGATTTACAATAGTAATATTTCTTTCTTACTTGTAGCCTGCTTTCATTCATTTAAGATGGTTTAATTATACATATATCTAATACAAAACGTCTAAATATAAAGAAAAAATTAAAATTAAAAACCAACCTGAAACTGAAAATGCAAATGTGTAATTAAATGATGATTCAAGGGATTTTTTTTTCTCGGCGTGGTGGGCTGAGGGGACGAGGGGGGGGGGGGGGGAGAGGGGGAATTTTTTTTTTTTTAAAGAAGAGCTGAAATGAATTTGGGATTACAGAGAATTAAAATGATACAAATTTTAAGCAATCGGAAAAGCAATGTTATTACAATGAGACACGTAAAAACAAACACTCTTCCCTTTCAAACATCTATATCTATACAGTCCTCAATTAGTTTTTTTTTCCTTTTTATTTTTTTATTAATTCAATTGTTTTAAACATTTAAATCAGTAATAATTATTTATTTGATAGATTTTACACAGCATCAAAGACATGAACATCAATTGCATATATAATAATCAAATGGAGAAAATAAAATGGCATAAGAACTAGACTAAAATAAGGTGTGCAAACTAGGTTTCTCTTGACTGCTTAGTTTACTGTGCTTTGTCCTTAGCTGAGGAGTCAAAAGTTCACATTGTAGCCACGCATGGACAGAAATAGAAACGACCGTGGAAGAAGTGTCTCTGCAGTACACATACTGATCTATCATTCCAAAACTTTCCATGACATAAAATTGACCCTTGGCAAAGAGGGCACGCTACCTTGAAAAATCCGCCAGTCCGGTTGAGTGGGGGGGGGGGGGGGGGGGGAAGTGTGTGTGTGTTACGTTTCAACAATAATGCTTATTTTAGAGAAATTGTTTTTGTTGTTGTTAGTTGTTTATAGTCCGATTTTTTTTAAAAAAAAAGGAATGTTCGTTATTTATAATCCTAAAGGTAATTAGAACAGTAGAACTCATAATTTAAATTACATTTACTTTTAAAATTAATTTTTACATTTAATTAGAATACACACCTTAATTCAAAATTTAATGTTTTACTAAAACGAATGCTATACTTCGTGATTTTCTGTTTATAATTAAAATAGTATACACGTGTTTGAAAAAATAATTATTTTAAAAAGCTACCTCCCTTGACATTTTAACGAAAACGTAGTCTTTGTTTACTTTGTTTTAACAAACAGTTGCTATGCTTGTGGTGATGTAATGTGTATGAAAGGTGAATACGTGGGACGGATCACTGCGTGTGTGTATGTATCATGTAGTGAGACGCGAGGCCGGGTGTGTTGACGTGTATGTTGTTGTACGGAGTGAACGAGGGTACAAGGGAAGCGACTGATCGGGTGACAGCGGCTGTGTTGTGTTGCGAGAGAAAGGTGGTGTGTAGATTGCGGAGGACAGTTGAAGGTTGAGTGTGAAAGCAAGGAAGTTGATTTCCGGACTGGAGGCACGGGAGATAGAGAAATAAAGAATACTGTAATAGCCTCAGTCGTGTTGTGCTTTTCTTTGAGATTCCTGACACTCTCACAATGCTTATAGAAGAAAATACGGCTTCTGGACAAATCTATCGACCATAATAAATTTTTTTCCAAAAGGAATATCGAATTTTTGTTACCCTCCATGGTCGGTCTAAGGCCTCGCAAAAAATCAGGGGGATCGTACGGCATTTTTTTAAAATATAAAGCTCATAAAAGGAAAATTTCACTCGTGGTCACTTTATAGCCCTCGCCGTGCGAGCAGGGGCTGACAGATAGTTTATCCATAAAGCCGATTCATTTACTCAGCTCTATGCAAAAAAAAATGAGCCAGATGTACAGAGCCAAATTTCCAAAACACTGTTTTGAAAAGAGTCATCGTTTTTCAGAAAATTGACAATGTTTATATAGGGAAAATTCGGACCGGTCAGTTCTAAAGGTCTTCCGGAGTTTTCCGGAACATATCATAGTTTATTTTTGCCACCCCCGAGGGTCGGTCTACGACCTCAGGAGTTATGAAGAGGTTCCTACGTGGGAATTTGTTTTCGATATATCGCTCATATAAGGCGCCGGTCAGTCGAGGTCAGTTTTGACCCCCTGTTCGTGGACTTTTCGTCCAACCGGCACAGGCCCTCGTGTTCTATCACCCCAAGGCAGGATCCTGGAAAATTTGAAGCGCGTGCGGCGCCGGAAAGTGCTCTGTCGGGCACCCGACAACTTTGCCCTATATATATAGACGTGCTGACACGCGACGTAGTATACGCCGCCATCTAGTTGTTTTATTTTCTGCTTATCAGCAATACATAATTTGTGAATTCAACACTACCCCCTCCCGCCCTCCCTCATCCTTCCCCCCTCCCGCCCAGTAAAAGCAGCCGTTTACTGACAAAGAAACGATCAATCAGAAATTGTTACCTCCCCTTCGTTTCAAATCGTTTAGTACTAAATTATCTGCCCCTAATAGCCGTCACTAACCCGGCTCTACGATTGTAAACATTCGGGGTGAACCACAGCTCACCTGACAGGTAGGGATGAGCGTGGTGGCTAAGCTGCGTGGTGTTTTCTCCATGAAGAGAATTATTTATACGAGCCGACCCGCGGCGTATCATATGCCGCTATTTAGTTGTTTTATTTTCTACTTTTCAGTACTTCATAATTTGTGAATTCGACAGTACCAATGCTGCCACTGAAAATATTTGCTTTAAAACACTATCAGTATGTCGTTAAGGACTATACCCCCCCCCTCCTTTCCCCTAATCCCTACCCTACCACCACCCCCCCCCCCCCACCACTCGCGAAAGTAGCCTACTCTTAGTTACCTCCCCTAGTTTAAAATCGTTTCAAACTAAATTATCTGCCCCTAATAGCACTAAACCCGACTCTACGACTGTAAACATTTAGCGTGAACCACAGCTCACCAGACCATGTGGGGTGGAGGTGTTAGGGATATGCCTAGAGATAAGAAAATGCTGCCCAGAGTTAGCTATAAAATCTAATAATTATAATATGGCTCCGCGGTATAGCAGGCCATTGGATGATTGCACATTGGATAAGTTACATGTTGCCCATGTAACAGCCCCCCCCCCCACACACACACCCGGTTCCTCTCCACACAGTTTATAGACCCAACACAGGACGTTGCTTATACAACTTGGAATTAACTATAAAATGGGTCTACGACAAAGTCCCGAAAGACACTTACCCGAATGTCGTTTGCCCGAAGGCCGATTTCCCGAATGAATACTTGCCCGAATGCGACAAATGCCCGAAAGCCACTTCGGGAAAACTTCCGGCTCCCCTTATAAAATAACTATAATATTTTTTGCTTAAATATAGAGAAAGCAAGCAAACAAAAAAAAGAAAGAAAAACAAACCTTTTTGCCACAAATAATGCTTTTAAAGATGTCCAATCTAGTCGAGTCTTGTATGGCTGTCCTTTAAATACTTCGATGTGACGACTATAGCAATAGTTGACTGTGGTTATTTCATCAGACTGAATGTTGTGGGTATTTTGGTGTTTTATAGGGACAACCGTCGACCAATCGTCTCGTGTTGAACCTTCCTCAGCTTTTCATCCGGGTTGTTTTATTCCAGCTCTGAATACATTGTTTACGCGTTACAGACAATTAAAAGTTCAAGTTCGTGAGACGCAATAAACAAGGTAGACGTTAATGTGATCGTGATTGAAATTTGTGTACTTGGAAATCAATCAGGCTATGTAGAATAGTTTTCTTGTTTTGAATGCCTCCGGGTTTTAAACCTTGAGCTGTTATTCTGGGAGCCATATCATTGTCTGGCTTCATTTTTAAGGAGCACAATAATAATTTAAGGTTTATTTTATGGACTGGGCGAGGAGCAACTGGTTCTTTTTTGTTGTTGTTGTTGTTGTTGTTGTTGATCAAAGATTTAACCAAAACAACTGATATAAGTATACGTCGAACGCTTTCTTAAGATGTTTATATTTATGTCCCAGAATCTCTTCAAGGCTCTGCTCCCCTCCCCCAAACGAAATGTAATGTATATAGAAAGCATATACTTTCATTAGTGTCTGCTCCCTACCCGAAAAATATGGTCCACCCCACTCCCACCCCCGTCCCCCGAAAATAGCAAGTGCCCCCCCCCCACCCACCCCACGAGAGGGGAGTCTGGAAGAAACACTGGTATGTCCAATTCCTATTTATACTACTACTAGGCACACTGCCTAGCTTCGCTTAGGTTTTCAAGAACATTTGAGAATTTGAATACTTAATTATTTAGTGACGGCTGAGGTGACTAGTGCATAAATTTAAACAGTAACGCTAATTTTAGAGAAAATGTTGTTGTTCTTTGTTGTTTAAAGTCCATTTTCAGAGAAAATATTGGAAAGTTCGAAAAGTATGACTAAATGGGAATTAGAGCTACAGAGGTTCCATGAACAGTATATCTCATAATTTATATTACACTAGCCGTCCCGGTCAGGCCCTGCTCTGGCTTCTGTGAAAAACCTTTCTGTTAAAGACCATCACCTGTGTGTTTAGTAATCATCATAAACCCGGCATTGCCCACCCAAACCACAACCAACCAAAACCAAAACAACAAAACGCAAACATAACGCTAACACAATTACAATTACAAACGAAAACAAAAACAACAAACCCAACAACAACCACAAACACCAATACAAACACAAAGAAAAAACAAACAAAAAAGCAAACGAAAACAAAAACCTAACAACAAACCCAACCACAACCACAAACACCAATACCAACCAATAACAACACAAAAAAAAAACGAAAAAGCAAACAAAAACAAACCAAATCCAAACGCAAAACCAACCAAAAACACAAATACAAACCCAAACAAAAAAACACAAACAAAAACGAAAAAAGAAAGAACAAAAACGAACCAAATCAAACCGCAACCACTAACGCAAACCCAACGGAATCGCCTGTTTTAGCTTAATAAACGACTATAGTACCCCAACTTATTCATAGTCTTTTGCACTCACTTAAACGAACGCGCCTGTTTCAATTTAATGAACAATTTTAATACTCCAAGCTTATCCGTAAAATACCTACAACATTTGCACTCGTTCAATCCCCGCTAATTATGTAATTGTTTTTTTTCCCAACACCAAAACAAAGTAATAAAAAGTAAATTCTTTTCCACTAATGCCATGGTTTTATAAAGGGAAGTAACTGTGTTTTCCTAATTTATCAAAGGGAAGTAAGTGTTATAGGACTAAATAAAAACATAATTAGAATTTTTGTAAAAGATGATATTTTTTTAAAACTTGTGTTTAATGAATATGCCGACAATTATTACTATCAGTTTGAAAAATGAAAATTATTTCCCAACACTTTCAATAGTAATTTTTTAACTCATAAATTTAGACAAATGCGCACGATAATAGTCTAACACTTTAATCCATTAAAGTATGTCAACGACAAACATATTTATTTTTACATACAGAATTGAGCTTTATATATTAGATTGACTTTTAAAATTAATTAACTTATTTCAATTACTGATACGTACCTTATTAACAACGTAATTTTTTACAGAAACAAATGCTATACTTCGTCATTTTCAGTTTATGTTTAAAATAGTATACAATTGTTTGAAACATAATTATTTTTAAAAAGTTACCTCCCTTGAAACTTGAACAAATGAAGTATGTCTTTGTTTATTTTCTCACAAACAATTGTTTATAAGAAAATACGTCTCTGGACAAATCTATCGTCCCACTTGGTTTTTTTTTCGACGAGAAATAATGTTTCTTTGTTATCCTCCGGGGTCGGTCTACGATCTCACAAAATATTAGGGAGATCGTTCGTCAACTTATTTATATATATTTTATAAAATGAGAATTTCACTCGCGGTCACTTTTTAGCCCTCGTCGAGTGCTTTGAGTCTGACCAACAGTTTTTCCATACAGCCTATAGAGGTGCATGCAAAAAAAATGGCCAGACAAATAGAGGTTGAGTATCCTAAAATTTATGTTGAAATTACCCTGTTTTTCCCATAAAATACAAAGATTATATAGGGAATTACGATTGGTCATTTTTGACCCATTTCAAGATTGTTCCCGGACATGGCGAGTTTTTTGTGACATCCCTAGGTGTTCTCCTACCACATCATAAAATATCAAGGGTGGTCGTTCGGTAAGAAAGTTTTTCGTTATATAGCTCAAATAGGAGATTTTCACTCGCGGTCATGTTTTAGCCCTCGTCGAGGGTTTGAGTCAAACCGACAGATTTGCCTAAAGCACAAGCTATTTACCTAGGAGCATGCTAAAAATTAGCCAGATATACTGAGTTTAAGTACCCTAAATTCCGCGTTGAAATGATCCTCAGTATTTCCCATATAATACAAAGATTATAAAGGAAAATACGACTGGGCAGTTTTGACCCATTTGCAGATTTTTCCCAGATATACCGAGTTTTTTATCACACCCCTAGGTGTTCTCCTACCACCTCACAAAATATCAAGGGGGGTCGTTCGGCAAGAACGTTATAGCTCAAATAAGATTTTCAATCGTGGTCATCTTTTAGCCCTCGTCGAGGGTTTTGATTCAAACCGACAAATTTCCTAAAAGGCCAAGCCATTTACCTAAGAGCATGCAAAAAATGAGCCAGATATACTAACATCCGCTTTGAAATGACCCTGTTTTTTTTTCTATAAAATACAAAGATTATATAGAGAAATACAACTGGTCAGTTTTGACCCCTTTACGAAGTTTTTCTAAATGAGCCGAGTTTTTGGTGACATCCCTATGTGTTCTCCTACCACGTCACAAAATATCAAGGGGGGTCGTTCGGCAAGATTTGTTTTTGTTATATAGCTCAAATAAAGAGATTTTCACTCGCGGTCATGTTGTAGCCCTGGTCGAGGGCTTTGAGTCAAACCGACAGTTTTCTCTAAAGGCCAAGCCATTTACCTAGGAGCATGCAAAAAATTAGCCAGATATACAGAGTTTAAGTACCCTAAAATCCGCTTTGAAATGACCCTCGGTTTTTCCCATAAAATACAAAGAGTATATAGAGAAATACAACTGGTCAGTTTTGACCCATTTCCCGATTTTTCCCGGACATGACGAGTTTTTTTTTCGACATCCCTATGCGTTCTCCTACCACCTCACAAAATTTCAAGGGGGGGGGGGGTCGTCGGGCAAACGTTTTTATATATTATTTTCGGGCTTTGACCGTAACATATATATATATATGTTACGGTCAAAGCCCGAAGTCGGCCAATGCTAGGATTGGCCGGCCAATCCGCGCATTGGCCAATATCGCCTCCCATAGGTCGGTCAAAGTCTGAAACTTTGCTTGATTTCGGCCTTTGGCCGGCCAATCCGCAGACTGGCCATGGTCGACCGGCCAATCCGCGCATTGGCCAATATCGCCTCCCATAGAAGATCATCTGGACGACCGGCCAAAGTCCGAATTAGAAGATCATGAGCAGATTTTGGGTTTTTTTTTATGCCGTAAGGATCATGAAATTAAGTCTTTATTGATTATTAATTAAAGTAAATGACAGAAACATTCAAATTTTTTATTGTACTATAGTCTCAATCTATCAATTTCATCATTTGTTAAAACAAGTTGAACTTCATTTAGAATTACATAGCAGCTTGTTATTTTTACACTTGCAGCGATTTGTAGTGCACTTAGTTGTGCAATTGCAGCGAGTGTAGCCTTGGCCCCCAGTCAATAATTGTGAAGATGCGATGGTTCGTAGTGATTTTTCCTCAGTGCCAGCTGCAATGACGCTTCGGGGATCACCGTGATCTCTGTTAACATCTGGAAAACGGATGCATACATGGTCACCCACTTCACCATCTTAAAATTTTGTATTTGATGTTTTAAGCATCTTAGTACCTTGAGTTTGCAAGCCAGTATGAGCTGCTGATCTGTGTCCCATGATGTCTTGTTTGTTGTGACACAATCTGCAGGTAATGTTCCCTCCGTACCCTTCGTCTGCTTCATTGGGTATTCCACACATAGCATGGACATCGTTGCCACAGGATCCAAAAGAATGAGCTGCACTAAAATGTTTTTCACAAACTATATAGAATCTGTTGGCCACGTTCCGCCACGGCAGCATATGTGTTAACTGAGGATGTCGTTGCATTTATGGCAACCTCCATTTCTTGTTCAATGTTCTCAAGATCTTCCTCAGTAATTATTTTATCGAGAGCCCATATATGGAAACTAACATGGATTTACATTTTTTTCTTTTGACATCCATCTGCTATGTTTGTCTCATGGTCTGACGGCCCTTTTGATCCATGTCGCCTTGCATATAGAATGCTATACAAACAAGAGCTAAACAATACGTTACAATGAAAACGCACCCAGAATAATGAAAATGCGATCACAACTTAGTCTGGATAGAACATTGGCCAGGACATCCCGGCCAGTGCGCGCATTGGCCAGCCAATGTACGAAATACGATCTTAGTGCTAAGTTTTTCGGGCTTTGGCCAAGAGAGCCGGCCAATGCGCGGATTGGCCGGCCAATCCGAGCTTTGGCCGCACTTCGGGCTTTGACCGTAACATATATATATATATATATATATATATATAT